AGGACAGGCTCCAAAGCCACAGAGAAACCCTGTCTCGAAAAACCAAAAAAAAAAAAAGTAAATAATCTTAAAAAAAAAGAATACTCTCTGTTCTTCCACTGTCATGGGAAAACACTGCAAGTCCCCAAGTGGCAGCAGCGGGCAGCAGGCCACGAGACCACAGCAGGCCATGAAAGCAGCCTGTGCCAGGCAGGAAGCTACACAGCCGGTGAGAGACAGAGACCTATTAGACACTCCATGCAGAGAAAGTGGGTATTTATTTAGTGGGTATTGGAGGGGTATTGGAAAGGGAGAAGGGAGAAGAGCAGAGAGAGAGGCAGAGTACCGCAGCCCTCTGAGACCATGGAGTTGCATCCTCAGATAAAGAATGTCTTGAAGCATAAGGAATCCCAGAGATGGGAGACAGCCCTGTATACATGAGCCCTGTATGCAAATTCTGAACCCTCAGTGTTTGACTCTGAGGACCCAGGTCTTAAACTCAAAATTCACTGTGGTAAATGAAGCATTTCCCATAGTTATCTCAGGCCATGTAGCCCAGAAAACCTAAAGTGCCGCAAATTGCTCCCCACATCAGTCAGGGCGTGTTCCCTTTGCTGTTGTTACAACTGCTCCTCTCTGGGGTGTCCTGAGTGAGGCATCCCCTAAGAGAATGGGCCTCCAGCACTCACCCATTCTCCTGTCCTGGCCCTCAACTCAAATCACCCTATTTGGGCCTAACAGCTACTCTTTGAGTCAGAATGAGCAAAGAAGCATTATTTTATTTTTGACAACGTAATAACTGCACAAGTTTGAAAATGCAGCCAAGCTTAAAATAAAAGGAAAACTCTCTGCCTGTGCCAAGCTTCTGATACAAACCCCAAGAGGCAGATTGACTACTTGATGTTCTTTTGGAACCTTTCCTTATAACTTGCCTGGGTCATTGGCCTGAAAATATGCCTACTCATTTGAGACCAAATCTGTCCAACTCTGGCCTTAAAAACAGTGAGTGACTAGTCTGGGCACAAACCTACACCAATATAAGATATCCGAGGGCCATGAGCACCAGCCTCAGTACCCCCTCAGGGCTCAGAATTAGATGTCTGTGGCAGGCAAGGATCTGAGGGTAAAAAAAAAAAAAAAAAAAAAAAAAAATGAACTCAAATATGTAACCTCTCCATGTTCTTTTTCGTGCAAGGGGAGAAAGTGAAGTGAAAGGGTGTGGAGGAGAAGAATAACAGAAAGAATAAGGAAAAGAAAGAACAGGGAAGAAGCAGAAGTAGCGAGGGGAAGTAAGGAGAAGTAGTAGAAGTAGTAAAAAGAAAAAGGAAAGTGGGAGTAAAGGCTGCTCTCAGCGAGGTTTCCAGTTTTTACAGCCGCAGTTGGAAAATTCCTTAGGCAAGGACAGTGATAACATGCATATCAAAATCACAAAGGCGGGCAGGTAGAAGCTGACAAAGCAGGACTCCAGAACAGGTGCTGGGACCCAGGAAAGAGCCAGCATTCAAGGGGAAGTACCTGACATTCCAAACCATTAGATAAAATTACCAAACATCCCTGAATCCTGGATCCACCCATCCTCCTCGCCCAGTCTCTTTTGTGACTACCAGCTTTGGGAACAACCAGATTTGTTAGCAGAGGTGGGGCATGCTGCCTTCCTGCTCAGTGCCTGTCTTCTATAGAAATTTCTATGTGGTCTGTTAGGTAATTTTGTGGGATTGACTCTATGTAAATTTGACTGTTAGGACAAAGAGTGAATGCCACCCCTCCAAGGCCTCCTGGTGTGGGGGAATGAAGCAAGGTTGCTCTATTGCCTGTGGAGAAGTCGTACTGCTGAGGTGTTTTGGGAACGAATCCCATTTCGAAGGGAAGAATCATGGCTTCACAAGGTTTCCGCAGATATGACAGTGACTTTTCCAAAAGACAAGAGTTCCCGCAGCTCTACAAAAGAGGTTATTCCATGAGTACTTGTACTTACACACTTCCCGTGGACCTGCCTATTGGTCTGTCAGCTGTGCGTTCACTGTATAGTCTTGTGGGCTCCAACAATATATTTCTATTTTAATAAGTCTCCTAGTTGTCTCTTCACTGGGACCCCTGCCCGGGGCATTGGAGAAATAGGTTCCAAGCTAAACCTTTGGCCAAAATTCACCTGGACTGTGGTGGCACTTGAGAAAGACGTTAGCTTGGGTCTGGAAAGTTAAAGAAGGCAGTAAATAAGAAAATCAGTGTTTGCTCCTTCAAAAGGAAGTGTGAGCCCCGCCGTGGTTTACCGGTCGTGGTTTACTGTCTGACAGTTCCAAAACAAGTCCGCTGTTGGAGACTTGAGGTTGTTCTCTAAATAATACTCGCCAAGGAAGTGGAAATTTGGCAGAGTTGACGGAAACCGCTTCAAGAGATCCAAAAAGGGCTCTGAATGGAATGATTTCCAGGAGAAAGCAGCCATTGTCCGGGCCTGGAGAGCCATTAAGAAAGGGGGAAAGACCACAATGGCCACATAGACCAAGCCTAAAGAGAATGTTTTGGAACTAGGAGCAGTAAACACTGCCCAAAACTGTCAGAGAGAAAATTTTGAGAACATTGTGTACTGTGGACATGGTGCGGTTCGAGGCAGGAAGATTCCAAAAAGCAGCTCTGCAGAGAAAGCTCTCAGGACAGAGCGCCTTTGTAAGGGCCAGTGGAATGAGTAGGGGGAAAGCTTCGAGGGTCTCGGCTATGGCGTGTGCCTTATTTAAAATGAAACTAAAGTTGTTACCAATAAAGAGCCCAGGACCTGTTCTGACACTGGAGAGGGGACATGCGGGTGGGTATGTTTTATTAGCCAACAGGTACAAGGTGCTGTGAAAGGCCACACGGTGTTTAAATGTGGCATCTGACCATGTCATAGGAGAGGAACAGAGGCTGAAGGAAAGACTGAAACCTTTGCAATATTCAAACTTTTCGATAAATCACCCCCCCTAGGTCTATACCCCTCTCTCCTTTCTCTGCAGCTTTACCACAGGCCTCCAGCCATGATATTCTGCCTCACCAGTGAAAGCAGCAGGGTCAAAGCAGCCACTGATTGAGAGTTCTGAAACTGTAAGCAAACAAGTCTTCCCTCTTCTAAGGTGTGCCACGACAGACAGACAGACAGACAGACAGCCAACACAGAGCTTTTTGAAGGAAACTGTGCAGTTTCATTGTCCAGAATTAGTTTTATTGAACTCTGATCTCAACCCAAATTAGACCAAAAGTCTGAACTAAAACCACATGACAATGTATAAGTCTAGTTCTTAACCTGCATCTACAGCATCCTGGGAAACCTGGTAAAAAGTGGCTGAGTCCTACAAGCCCCCGACTCCAGCATCCTCCTGCACCTCTATTCTGCATCTTAGATACTTTGGAGCCATGAGAACTTATTTGTAACCTACCTGATGATGAGGGATTAATGCTTGATACAGGGACAATTTCCCTGTAATCAGCAATGGGGATAAACATGACAGAGACTGTTTGTGGAGTGTCTGTCCTGATGGGCATTCTGTCAGTGCCGTGCTCCCACATCACCTTCTCTTTCACAATTCCCTGAGGGAGATAATTCTGATTTTATGGCCACGGAAACTGAAGTTAACATAAAGTAAAAGATCCCAGAGCTAGGAGAGAGACTCAAACTCCAGTGCATCTAATACCAAAGAACTCATTGCCTTCTTTGCCTCCTGCTATGGCCTCTAGAAACTGCATTATAGTAACCAGAAAAATTACCTAAACACTCCAGTCTCTACAGATGGGTCCACTGATAAAACGGTTTTCTTCATGATCAACCCAAATCTCTCACAGGTTCCCAGATTTACAGTCCTGTTCACCCCAATATCTCACCTCACTCTCCAGAGTGAATGACTTGCTTGTAATTTCAACTTTCAGGAAGACAAATGCCTTGAAAAATAAGACCTAGGTTCCTAAAAGGGCAGAAGACTGAATTTCGGTGTGCTATAATGTGGATATGGCTTTTTCCCACATAACTTACAGTGAGACTCAGATTCCCACTTCGCCGTGGGAACAAGGCCTCGGTTTTATTCAAAGGAGTGGTTCAGATATGTCTTCCCAGTTAGCTGCTTGGATTGGAGATTATGGCCATCTCTCCAGAAATCCCACCCAGAAATTGTACTTCCTGAGCTGTAATGATCCGGACCACAAGAGGGCACCAGCGCCCACAGAACAGGCACATTCCTCACCACCCTGAGGGATCTCTTCCCCCCTCTAGTCCCCGTAATCTATCCGTAATCTATGTGCAAATGCCCGCCCCTCTGTTGAACCCCTCGAGGAGATAGCTCTGACGTGCTAGCTAGGATGAGGCACAGTGCGGTGGAGCGGCACACCCCTGGGACTAAGAAACCGGATTTAGGAAGTGCGCCTGAGATTGGATCTCGCCACTCTGGACACCTCAAGGCCTGCAACATCTCCCAGGGTCCTGCAGAAGAATGCCTGCTCCGGCTGGGACTCAGAGGAACATTCCTTGGGAATGTCAAGTCAAGAGCAGACAACTGACATCAATTCAAGAGGCTCCAATTCTCCCTTATCAAAATGCTCATCTTCTCACACATCTTAAATCTCTCCTTTCCTGGGTTATTGTCTCCTCCAGTGGCCCGCCCAGAAATGACCTTTCCCTAAAACCTGGTGCCAGCATAAATCTTTCAGCCCTTTCCTGTGGAGCATCGTGTGAAGGCTCTGCTGCACACTGAGAGGCACAGGAAACAAGGGTGGCTAGACTCAGATCAGGGGCCCCTCTGCCTCCCCCTTGCTTGTTCTCCCCCAAACCACCTGCCTGGCCCCTTTTGCTCCATCTAGGACAGGAGGCGAAAGAACAGTTTTGCCTGGGAGAGGTGGTACCAACTGTGGAAGGAACTTACTGTGATGGCAGAGAGGAGGCCCTGAGGGAGGAGTTTTGGGCCCAGGAAATGAACTTAAGGGTTAGACCTAAGCAAGTAGGGCTGTAAAAGCTAAGACAGGTGGCAGACCTTACAGGAGGCATACCGTGCCCAGCTGGGAAGATGGCTCTGCCTTGGGCATTATGGTTACTTCTCTTGGGTTTCCAAGCCCAGGGAGCTCACACATGGTGTTCTGAAAAGGATAAACTCTACATTGATAAGCCAGTCAGTGACCCTGACATAGTGAAGTTTGCTGTGAGTGCATTCAACAGTCAGAACAAGGACGAGTATGCCTACAGACCGGTTCACATCATGGGTTTCTCAAAGGTACAGGTGGGTGACCTTGTCTACTACAGTTACTCTTTCCTGACAGAGCAGGCAAGACAGTCTCAGACATTTGCAGTCTGTGGCTGAGTTACATATGACAAATCAGTTGTTCTCAGTGGTTTAGAATGCTTTTTTAGCCTTTACATTCATGAAATCTACTCACATACAGAAGGCTCTGGATATTTATGTCAAAATAACAATAATAATAATTAATAATAATAACTTTAGAATAGGTGCATCTAGGGAGATATTTCTACTGAGTAAAGAAAATATTTGCACAAAAGTTCCACAGACAAAGACTGAAAATATGTCAAATCACAATTTAAGATTTTTGCTAGTGTATATTTACCGTACACAATAATAGGCTTTGTGTGACGGTTCATAAATGCATATAGTGTATTTTCACAGTATCCATCTCCCATTTCTCTCTCTCTTGTCCCTCTCCCACCCTTGTTTATTTCTTTCCTCTTCCCAACTCATACCTTTTCTGCTTGTCTATCTTTTTTGTTATTGATCAAATGAGTTTAATTAGGGGTACTTACAGGAACATGGTCAGGTTTTCTTTAGAGGACCATGGGAAACTTACAAAGATATTCAAATGGTAAAGCAATTCGCAGGCTGGGAAGATGGCTCTGCCAGTAAAATGCTTGCCAGATAAATGGAGAGATGATAGTTGGGATCCCCATCACCCATGTGAAAAGCCTGACTCACAGGTACACACGTGATCCTAGCACTGGGAAGGCAGAGACAGGAAGGTCTGGAGAGGGATTGGTTTTGACCAGCCTAGTCTAGCTGGGCTTCAGTTTCAGTGAGATATCCTGTGTCAAAAAGTAAAGAGAAGAGCTGCTGAGAAAAACTTCTGGTGTCACTCTAGGCTCCATGCACACACATGTGTACACACATGCACACAAATGAGCAATTACAAAAATTGAGAGAGTGAACAAAAGAGTAGGCGGTGAGGACTCGCTAGCTGTCTTGTGGCCAGGGACAAACAGTCTTGAGAGCCACCTGCCAGCTCAGCTCCTTCTCTCAATTCTCTCCTACTCTGGGCCCCTGGCAGACTCACTCGGCTCATTGATCACATCAGAGCATCTTCTTCATCCTAAAATGATCCCTGGTAATGGGATGCCTACAGAATGTCCTCAAGATGTCAATACCCATCTCCTAATGTCACCCTTGTGGTCATGGGTGGGGGATACTTTGTTCCTCCTTTCTCAGCAGAAGAAAGGCAGAGGGCTTTCAGCCCTACACAGCGCTGTGACCTCTGGGAATCTCTGCAGAGCACTAGATGACTCTATTGTCTGAGCTCTCTTGGCTGGAGTCTCACCCGTGGACTATGGCTATGGATGAGCTATCGGCAGGATTGGCCTTGTGGGAAGAAAGAATGGGAAGGATGAGAGACTAGGGAAAGGATGAGGGAGAGACCGTGGGAAAACGCAGGAGAAGGTTTCTAGAGCACACATTATAAAAACTTATCCCTAAAGCCACCATTCCGATCCTGTGTGCTGGTGCATAGTGACTGAAACACGAGCATTTTTTCTTGATGTAGATCAGGTGACAGTTGTGACAGTATACTGCAGATCTGGCTTCATCTCTTTGGGCTGAGTTATCAGCAGAGCCACTACCCTCCCAGAGCCTGTCCTCTAGGAATTCAGGTATTGGTTCCGGCACCTATTGAGAGTGAAGCTTAGGCCTCATTTGGTAGAGTAGAATGTGGACACTTGAGGCAGATGATATATTAGTGGTATATGACTCAGCCTGTGACTTCACCTAGCTTCTACCAGACTGCCACCTCCAAACTCTTAACTCTCCAAGGTAGAGACTATGCCCTTGATTTTCACCTCCAAGAAAGAGATGCCAGGCCTTGGAAAGCTCCAAATTCATGAGACAGTCCAGGTCTCTCCCCATACTGACCACAGACCTGAGGCCGGTATATAAACAGGCAGCAAGAAGGGTCTGCTCATGTCAGGCTTTTTCTCTCTTCAGGAAAAGCTACCAGCAACTTTCCTCGTGAAGCTGAGGCTGAGAAGGACCATCTGTAAGACATTCGAGGATAGCCTGGACACCTGCCCTTTTCAGGATGACCCTGAACTGGAAAAAGTAAGGCGGGGCACCAGCATCCACCCCTTTCACAGTTGTGGGTGCTGCCAGGGAGAGAGAGGGGGTGCAAGAGCAGATGACAGAGCAATCCTTAAGGACCCAGGAAGTGACTAGTGGCAAATTTCCCAGAATTCCTTCCTAAGCCTTAATGAGAAAAGAGTCCCAAAAGGCAGGCAGCCTGGGTACAAGATACAGAGGCCTGGCCAACCTGTGCCCCCAACTCTGCCCACTCCCAGTATTAGCTGCCTGTTCCTTGTTGATGTCAAGGCTTCATGATGCCCATGCATCCTGGGCATGAGTAGCAATTGCTCATTGTTTGGTGGTCATCCTCCTCTCCTGGATTCAGGGGAAAGAACCTGGTGAATTCTGATGCTATATTAGGGACCCTTCACTGACATACAGCCTGAAAAAGGAGTGAGAGAAGGGGCCCCACTGTCTGCACTTCAGAACCTATGCCCAGCAGAAGGACCAGCAGCTTTTCTGAGGGACAATGAGAATGGCAACCTAATTCTTGGGATAATGCCATCCAGGGCTGGTAGACTTTCATCAAGAAAAATTAGTAGCTTAACTAATGACTTATGTCTGACAGTAGTCAACTCCTTCTGGAACAGAGCATCCTCTACTGTTCCTGGGAGCTTGCATCACACAGTAACAGTCCAGAAGTTCTTCTGTGGGTCACTTATTTATCGGGTAAGGACAATCACCCAAATGCCTCTGGATCAAGAGAAATCCCAGATGCAGACAGTTCACCACTCAATCAGAGTTTGAGTTGGTGGTTATACCTGTAGATCAAAGGCCCAAATCTTCCAACTGCTGGTCAAGAAAGGGATAAAGTTGAGTAGACAGGATCCTGACAATAAACCACAGGCTTCCTGAGCCTCCTTCATCCCCTGTTCTATTTTGATTGCTTCCTTAGACCTTCATCTGCTCCTTCACCATCAGCACCCCACGCTCAAAACAGTTCAACATGTTGAAAAATACTTGTTCTACTGGGCTTCCCTGACTGGGACCCACAGCACTGGTCCACGCCTGCTCCTTTTTCTGAAGCAGCAAATACAGGCTTAAGAAGCTCTATGCTTTTTGCAAGTGTCTGGGATTATATGTGTTTATTTCACGTCTCATCTCTTTATTTTCTGGCTCCTACATTTTTTTCTGTTCCTTCTTCCACAATGTTCTCTGAATTTTAGAAAATCCTTTCTAAAAACTATTATTATTAATGTGTATTTGTGTGTAGTATGTATATGTTCATGTGCCTAAGAAGGTCAGAGGTGGCCCCTGGAGGTGAAGATACAGAAGACACAATCATTCCAAAGATAAATGCAGCATCTGTGGATGTCTTCCCTAAGTCTACACAGGTACCATCCCATCAACAGTCAGTCATGGACAGAAGGACTCAGAGAACCTAGTCTTCACTGGTGAACTATTAGGAGACGAAGAATCATTGCATTTAGTTGTGTATCTACTGATGATTCCATCAAACTCCAAAAGGTAGTCCCAATCCAAGTGTCATACAAAGGTCCCTGATAAACTAGATGGTCACAAAACAAAGCCATAGGTCACGAATCTGGTAAAAATGTGGGGATGGTGGAAAGGTGGGGTATTAACAGGGATGAGAGGAAGATAAGGATAAGGGAATCAGAATACATAGAACACAGGCAAAAAAAATTCAAATAACAAAATCAGTAAAAAGAAAAAAATGTAATCTACTCTACCAATAAAATAAAAACCAGAAATTACCTCAACATGTTCGCGGAGCTAAAACTCTAGCTGCCTTGAAAATAATGCTTTTCAAAGATATAAAAAAAAACCCTATAATTGCCTAGAACCTTTTATTACACTCTGTCTCCAGAAAACAAACACTTAGGCCCTCCTCTCACAAAGTACACATATAATCAACTACTTAGCCATTGAAATATGGTGTATCTTCAGCTTTCTTCTCCTTTCAGTCCGTAAAATCTTGTTGTTCATGATGCGTATGCTGGCTAGCTTACATTAACTTGACACAAGCTAAAATTATTTGGAAAAATAAAAAGGAACCTCAATTGGGAGAATGTTTCCATAAGATCCAGCTTTGGGGCATTTTTAAAATTAATGATTGATGAGGAAGGATCGAACCCACTCTAAGTGATACCATCACTGGGCTGGCGGTCCTGGGTTCTCTAAGAAAGCAGGCTAAGTAAGTCAGTAAGCAGCACTCATTAGTGACCTCTGCAATAGCTCCTCTCCCTGGGTCCTGCCCTGTTTGAGTTCCTGTCTTGGCTTCCTTTAATGGACTGACTGTGACTTTGGATATGTAAGTCAAAAACAAAAACAAAAACATTTATTCTCCAGGTTGCTTTTGGTCATAATGTTTCATCACAGCAATAGTAACCCTAATAAAGACAATGGTAGAACATAGCTTTGTCATTGGACATTCCTGATGCATATAATATATGTATGTATATTGTGTGTGTGTGTGTGTGTGTGTTCTTCTTTGCCCAAATGAAGGCTACGAGTTTTATTTCTAAAAGTTTTCTTTATCTTAGTTTTTTATCAGATGTGAGATCCTAAGGAGGCCTCCAGCAACATAAGGATCTACTGACCAGGTGGTGCTCCCACAGGACCAATTGTGCTCAGTGCTCTCTGATGCAGTTGGAAGTCTTGGATGAGCCCCCTCCCACTGCAGGCTCCCTTGCTTTCAGTGTTGAGCTCTTTCGCTTTTGTTGAGCATCTCCTTAGAGATGCACCATATAAAATTATACTGTATTCAATATATAATGGTAGTTGGACCAGTCGTGAGGCCTTGCAGACTATAGGTTTTAGTGCATTTGCTAGAGCATATATTCACCAGATAAAAGAAGTTTTTCTGTGTGTTCATCAGCCGATGAAAGTCAGACCTTTCATGATCTAGAACCTGGAGTCTGGGTATGAAACAATACACTGGGAAAAGCGCTGTTAAAAACCACCATAAAAGAGCTGGGGATGTGACTAGTGCCTGCTTAGCATGCATAATGCTCAGTAATTGACCCCAGTACCACGGAAAAATAAAACCAAACCACTGGAAGGAGACAAATTGAGTTCTTCTCACCACTCACATGACAACAAAATCTTAGAACCTTAAGCCCTGGGTCCCCATCTCTCCACTCAAGAGGCCCCTGAAGACCCTCAGTTCTGGTATTCATGGAAGACCTCAAGGTAATACTAAACCAAGACTTTATTTTTCCCCTCAAACAGAGACTATCTTAGACCTGAACCACTCACCCAAGACCATAGAGAAAGAGTTCTTACTAGTATTACCCTCATGAAACACATGCCCCCTTTCCTCTCAGCTTGTGCCTGTTCCTATGTGGCTGGCTGGTGCTGGGTTTGGGACCTCACACTCACACCCCCAACAAGAAGCACTGACTGAATACAGAAAATGCCCACTTCAACCCAAGCTCTTCCTGTTTTCAAAACACTAGTTCCTTCCGTAAGCATGTTTACTGATGCTCCACGTGCATCTGATTGTTGAATTGCACCTTGACTTTTTCCAAGAGGTTTTTTCTTTCAGATTACAATCCATTGTTAAAATCTAACAACAAACAAAATATATTTCTAGACTATTATAAGAAAACTAAAAAGAGAAATAATTTGACAGTAACACAAATCCACTATCTGCAAATAGCTTCCCACCTGCAGTGATTTGATAATGGAATATTATATAAAAATTTCGAGTGACTATTTGCTGGTAGTCTGGGACACAAAAGATGCCACCCCCAGAGGACAGTCTGTTGGAACCCTTTAGAATGGGTAGTTTTCTCTGGGAAATTTGACAGTCAACTGTTCCAGTGAGCATTTCCAGGTCTCAGTAAGTAGGAAGAAAGAAGACAAAGATTTGAGATTCTTTTTTTTTGTAATTTTTTAAATTTATTTATTATGTATACAATGTTCTGTCTCTGTGTGTGCCTGCAGGTCAGAAGAGGGCACCAGACCCCATTATAGATGGCTGTGAGCCACCATGTGGTTGCTGGGAATTGAACTCAGGACCTTTGGAAGAGCAGGCAATGCTCTTAACCACTGAGCCATCTCTCCAGCCCCTAGATTTGAGATTCTAACAGCTTGACTGTCACTCAAAAGCTGAGCATTGGTCAACTCCTGCTAATTTTTACTACAGATCACAGAGGGGTTATCAAGCAGGTACAAGTCTCTCCTTTCTTGGGAATGTTTGGGAAAATAGCCTTTCTCTCTTGGCATCAATGTAATGAGGTGATTAAAAAGAAAATACTAGTTTCCATGCTATACTGCAAAGATTATAACTGTACAACAAACAGTTGTGAATTCTCTCGCTGGAATTGTTTGAAGTAACAGAATTGCCTAGGACGACTAAGGATCCAGAAGCTCTGAGCTGACAGGGCATCAGTGGTAGTTAGGGTGACAGCTGGCAGTGGGATGGCATCTGAGTGAGTCCCAGAACCACCCAGAGAGCTCTTATGAAGGTTTTGGAACCCAAGATCAAGAATTACCTAAACCACAACATGCTCATGTTTAGTAGCACATCCTGTTGAAACGCAGCCACTCTTCCTTGATCATACAGGGTTCATAACTGCATTCTACATATGAGATCAACTTAGTGGAATGAGGAACCATGGGGATCACAAAGGCCATGTGTGTCTAGACAATGCTTCTAAATTCAAAGGAAATTAGGACACAAAAAGAAAACAAAAGATTGATGTCCACATATCTCTTATAAGTAAGTATCCCCATGATCTAGCTTTCATCACTAGGTTCCAGCTTCTGACCTAAGCCTGGGACAAGCAAGGTATAACAGGTGATGGTTTAGATATTGGCCTGAAGAGCTGGGCCTAGCCCATGTCTATATGGTCATCCTGAAAACAAACCTGCTAACATGGTTGGACAATGGAATCTATCAAAATAGGCCTATTTGCTGGAACATGATGGACCCATGATTCTTGTTCTGCTGTGGTCAAGATAAAGCTTAGATCATGGAAGAATAGCCTAGAAACTGGGGAAGGTTTGTAGCTCTGATCACTAGGGACAACCTGGCTGACATGGTATGCCAGATTCTCCTTGGGTTGTTCTAGACTCTATAACCAATAAAAGCATCCTTACTCAGAGTGGGGCTAGAATCCCAGACTGTGGGCCTGCTTGGTACTGAGGTTGGTGTACAATATGGCTTTACTTGGAAGTCACCAAGGCAAATCTATTGTTGGCATCCAAAGCAGATTATAGTCTTCTCTCACCACCAGAGAGAACATTTGTTTCCTGAAGATGGGGACAGTTGAAAAGGGTGATGTAAAACTGTCATTCCTGGTGAGCGTGTCTCCTTTTATTTCTGCACTTACTTTAGGTGCTAAAATCTCACCTGATTTCTGAGCATTTGTGAGGATATGTTCACATGGCCACCCTTGCTCAAACTGAGGTTTCTATGGTGAATACTATGAAGCCCTCTCTCACCAGCTAGGTGAGGTCATGCAGAGATTATTAAGATTTAGTTTACTTTTAATGATGTGTATGGGAGTATGTGCAGCTGTGGGTACGGGTGCCCACAGAGCCCAGAAGAGGGCCCTGAAATTCAAATTCAGGTTCTCTGTAAAAAGCAGCTCATGCTCTTAATTGTTCTCTCGCCAGCCCAGAGTCCAGTGATTTTTAGTTAGCATTTAAGTGTCCTTGTTACTAATCTTGGGAATTGAGTTTTCCAAATTCTATATTCTTAACTATTTTATGGACACCTTGACTGATTAAGAAATCAGCAATTCTTTAGCAAATCAAAACCCTGCTTGCTCATTTTGTCACCAGGGAATCATGAAAGCCACTCTCTGAAGATCAGAGGCTACACACATACGCTAAGGTAAGAGTGGCAGAAGATCTACCTGGGCCCTGTATGGATATTTGATACCCTGGGAGACCACAGCCCTTGTGCTTCCTGACTTTGTGACAGCAATTCTGATACATCTTACTTACTTATGTCTCCTTTGTTCCCCCATCAGGAGCGTCAAGGTTAGGGGAACATCTTAGAAACTCAAA